GGAGTCTCCTTATACTATCCTCATTTTCTTGAATTCTTTTTTCTTTTAACAAAAAGAAAAAAGCGTTCTGACTGAATGCTTTTTTCAGTCCTTGTGGTTCGAATCATTGATTTGATTTTTGGCCTCATCTCCTCCACTGTAGATTTTTCTTTATTTCACTTAATGTAACCTTAATTTCTGTCTGGGTCTTTTTTTATGCTGTTGGAGTACCCAATGAATCCTAGAGCAACCTGATGACCAGCGTTTTGAACTCTCCATCTGATAGAGTGCTTATTTCCATTTCATTTAGTTCTTTTTCTGGTGTTTTGTTCTATTCTTCAATTTGGGCCATATTTCTGTTTCCTCATTTTGGCAGCCTCCCCGTGTTTGTTTCTGTGTATTAGGTAGAGATGCTTTGACTCCCTTGGTAGCACAGACTATTGTAGAAAAGTGCACCTGTAAGTTGAGCGGGTCAGAGCCCTAGGTTATTGCCAGGGGGCAGGCAACTTGTGCAGCCACTCTGTGAATCTGTCTGGGGGTGAGGGCTCACAGAGGGGACATGTCTGGAGTCTTTGGCAATTGCTCTGTCACCAATCAAAATTTCTCCCCATATGCCACTGGTGCCCTTCCAGCTGTTGCCCTGGTGCTATATACCTGATGGGGTGGGTCTGCGTGAGTCTGCTCAGTTGCAGGCCCTTTAAGAGGAGTCTCCTGAGAATCCCAGTTTCTTCCACCACCTCAATCCCCACTGGTTTTTACAACCAAAAGTTATGGGAACTAATCTCGCTGGTGCTTGAACCCTGGTCTGGAAGGTTTGGACTGAGGCTGAAATCCTTTGCTCCTGAGTAATCCCTCCCAATTTTTATCCACCAAACATGGATGTAGGACCTTCTGCCCCATATCTCTGCAATTCTCCATGCCACCTGGTATCTCCACACCTCTCCACCTCTCAGTGCTTCTGCCTCTCCTACTTATTTGGATGAATGTGGCTTCTTTAAATCCTTGGTTGTCAGACTTCCACACAGCTCAATTTTCTGATGGTTCTGAGTGATACTTATTTTGTAATCTAGTTGTAATTTTTGCTGTGATTGTACAGGGAAGCGAGATGTTTACTCATGCCTCCATCTTGACCCAAAGTCCAAAAGACACATTTGTCATTTCCACCAATAACTTTATTGATTTGGATATTTTGAGCAAGTCAGCTATCTACTGCATGGTATAATGTTGATTGTTTTTAATGTCTCCATTTGATTGCTATCAACTTCAACTGGTCTACCTGTGAGCATCACCCGGCGAGAAATCTCCAGCACAAAACCTTGCAAAACACTTTTGACACATTTGATCAGTCACAGAGCTTTCTCTGTACACTACACAAACAAATCTTTTCTTTTGCATTTCAGTTGTGTTTTTACCTTTCTTGAAATAATAAAGCATAATATGCCAAAAATGTTGCATATTTCCTTCCATCTTCAATACTAAAATGGCCACACAAAAATTCATCGATTTTGATGTCTTTTTAAATGCATGCTGATATGACAGCTGCCACAATACAATCTAACAAAATTGTTTTGAATGAAGTTTAAGACAACTAAGCGCTACTAGAGCCATGTTATGGTGGGGGAAAAAACCCAAAAAACGAATCTTTTGGCCAACCCAATATGTGGTCAGTTAAATCAATATTTTTGTATTATAGTTAGGAAAAATTTTCAAGAAAATCCAGTGGTACACAGCTGGGACTTAAAACATTTCTAGTATCTTTCAGATTGTAAATTTTGGGAAAGCAAGGGTTTAAGCTTTACATTTTTTTTCCCCAGAGCCTAACACAGTATACTACCTAAGTGTCTGTGTCAGAATATTCTGAATGTATTCATTTCCTCACCAGACATCAGACTCAGGTTTAATCTTGTTTATTTTGTGGTTCACTTATAGCAATTAGTTATGAATGGCACAGGTCACACCTTGGACAATATAAAGGCTTCCAGAAGTTGAGTTCTATTAATAGTTTGTGGGTCATTACTGCATTTGTTCTATGTTCGGATGAATTTCAGTTTTGTTCAATCCTACTTTTGTCAGAATATGACTATTTTTTTCAAATCTCATGTGAATTTTGAGTAAATGTCTATCCATGTATAATGATGAATTATTACACTTTAGCAACTTTTATAGAACACTCACGCCCACTTCATTTTATGGCTGTTTTAAGTCCACGGACCCATTCAAACAACAGAGTAGGCATTTATGCAATACGGTGAATATACAGCTGAATATTCAAAATTAAGGTCAAAAGGATAATTCAGCAATTTTGATAATTTAAAGGAATAACTAATGCTAGCCATTAACAGTTGCATGAAAAGGCCATCTTTTAACTTTGATATTAGAAGAGAATGAATATTGATTGAATACCTTTGCACTTAGAACTTACTATCACCATTCACTGCTCGCAATAACCCTATGAAGCCAGGAAGAAAGTGAAGACCACAGCAGGTATCTGATTTATCTGGGCTTGTAAATGGCAGAGCTGGGACTCGAAATCAGGCCTGTGTGACTTCAAAGACTGCATGTTTTCTCTATACCACTCTGCCTTTATGGTTAATGAAAATATTCAAAATCACATTTTTTGGATAGTGGCAACTTTATTTCATCCGAATGCAGGAATCACTGAAAAGCTGTGGCCTTACAGGGTATGAAGCAGTGCCGGAAGGGAATTTCTGCGATGGGAGTGCAAATGCTTTAAGGTTCACCGAAGCATAACTGCAAAGAATGTGACCTGTGACGGGGAGCAACGGCAGGCCTCCGCGGGTGCTAGTCTAACAGGTGGGGCCAGAGCCCTGCGCAGCGCGTCTGCGGAGCGGCGCCGCAGCGCCCCACGGTCTGAATAGTGCCGGGGATGGCAGTCGCAGGGCAGAAACCACCTGTGCGGCATGCAGATTCAACCACTGTTTGCAGAATGGACTTTTTCTACACATGTGCGAAACCACTACTCAAACATCATCGATTTATTTTGGGTGGGAAAACAACCTACTTTATTACCTATTTAACATTTCGCTACTTGACCCGAATCAAGACTGAACTTCTTTTTGTTTCTGGTGGCACTGAGAATACTAGGCAAAGGTGAATGTTGCCTTCAATTAAGTTCAAAATATTGGCGTGAGAAGTGGAGGAAAGATTTGTAAACACACACACACACATTTGCAATTTTTCTTGTTTTATACATACACATATGTGTATAAAACTGTTCACTTATCTAACAGTTCACTTCTTACAGTTTCCTCCTAATCCTATTTATACATATTTTCTTCACCGTTATCAGAGGGCAATCTCACACTACTGTATGTGAACATGCGTTCAAAACCAGCAGCAAAGGGTGGGCAATGGTGAAGAGCACATCTAGTATGTAGGAGTCCCTTCACGTTTCTGTGTATGTCGGGCTGGAAATTAAATATGGTAGTTACATTCCTTAGGAATTTGTATATATTTAAATACTCAAATCTCAAACATTTGGGAGAAAAAAATATGCTCTTGCATGCTTATTCTTACCATATAAATATCCAGGTGTCTGGGATTCTGCTCGGCAGACAGATGTAGAGATAGGATGTTGCCCCTAGGATGTCCTTTCCTTCATCACGCATTTGGATGATTTCTAATTAACAATGTCTACAGTAAGTCTCCAATATCACAATGCTAACACATTCTGGATTTTTTAAAGATTTCATTTAGTTACTTTCAGAGAAGGGAGGGAGAAAGAGAGGGAGAGAAACATCAGCGTGTGGTTGCCTCTTGTATGTCCCCCACCAGGGACCTGGCCTGCAATCCAGGCATATGCCCTGACTGGGAATCGAACCGGTGACCCTCTGGTGTGCAGGCTGGCACTCAGTCCCCTGAGTGACACCAGCCACAGCTTCAGAAGTTAAACCACTGAAAATCAGGTACCATTGGTGCTGCCGTTGTTGTCTCTGTCTAGTTCTGGAGTGGCATACAACAGGAGCACTATACAAGTTTAACATTGCTTATGAGTTTTTGTTAACCAAATTAAGGTTTCTCATCCAACTAGATTATTCAGCAGTTTTAAATCCCAAGTCATACCTTGTGTTTAGTTGTGTCTAGGCCTTTAAAATGAAATGAAATGGCCTGTGCTATTTTACTATGTGTAAGGGAAATACATATTATGGGCGTGAAGCCACTGATATTTACATTAGTTAAAAGTTCTCTTGGTACTCTCAGTTATAAGCCATACGCATCACTAATCACTTCTGGTTACTCCCCTGGCAAAAGGAGATTTAGTGGCTTGCCATTTGCTTTATTTTAGATTCAAAAATATTTTTTTAGGTTATGTACAAAAATTGAAGTTCCTTAAAAATGTTAAATAAAATGTTTAAATATAAACTGATATATAATAATTTGTAACTTTTAAATAATTTTTATAAATTCCTTCTAGATTTTAATATGACACTCTGTAAATATATTACAGAAAGGGTAAAAAAGTAACTGGCGAAAAGGTTTTCAAGAGCCTATATACAGCATGAGCTAATAATCTTTGCTGTAATACTCAAGATTTTTACGCTGAAACATGGAAGACTGACAACTTTAGTGTTGGTGAATCTTATAAAATAGTTCTTCAAAATTAATCCATAAGAAATTACAGAACACTGAACTGTATTCAATAAACACCTGCTAAGAGATCAAGTAAAATATGGTACTTTAATCCCTGTTTAACTCTATACTTAATTCTAAAATATAGGTGATTTAAATTGTTCATTTTTAGGTGTAAGCTTAAATTCTGAATTTTTAATTAACTTTCCCCGTTTCACTAGTGCTTGTTAATTTTTAAATGTCAGATTGGCATGTGCTTTCAATTGTTGTCTATTCTTAATTCAGTTTTTACAAAGTAGCTCAAGATAATTGCTCATAAAAGATCTCTCAATTACCAAGCTATTTCTCTAATGAACATATTATATATCCAATTACACACATCAGTAATTTCACAATTGTTTTTTTTTGTTTAATTTTTTTGCTTATTACTTCTTATGCATTGCAGTTTCTGCAAGGAAAGTTACATAAAGCACTTGTAAATAATTGGATTGAGTCTCAACATTTCAGATAAGATCAAGTGTGAAAATAACTGCAAGTCATATTCAAGCAAATGAGTTTTTTTTTGTAAGGGGACACATTCCCTGTGACAGAAATCTTTAAAAGGGAAAGTATAAAGTTTGATACTTAAATATTTAGAAGGTAGTTCACAAACAAGTTAAATGTCATTTATTTTCTAAAACGTACAAATGTCTTATTATCACACATGCACTATAATAGTAGGGAGAACAGCAGGTTGAAGATGCAACAAATATTCTTTGAACACTTCAACAAACACAATGTAAACATTCACTTTAATAATGTTTCCTTTGTTGATACAAAACTGAGTGCATTTTTTCCTTGCCTCTGGCTGAGCTGTGACTGAGTGGCAACAGCAGAGTGCTGAAAGAATTTTTCAACAGCAATTTGCTTGTTCTAATTTACTTTTCAGGGTTGATGATCCGGATCACCATGTTGCTTACAAAAAGACCTATTTCCATTAGTTTGATCCAATCATTCCTCTTGTCCTCATCATACATAGTTCCCCTGACAGATTTGAGTGAATCAGAAGTGCTACCAGTGCTCAAGTTCTGTAATTTTATCTATATAATGAACTCCTATATCCTTGAGAAACAAATCTATCATACCCATTGGGAAAGATGGGTACAGAAATGAGTGACTCAGATGTGAAACCTTTGCCCTTTGTCAAACAGAAATACTCCTTTTTTAGTCAGTAGACCTATGCAACAATAATGCCAGAGCATTCTGTTTAAATAAAGAAATTCTAAGAGGCTTTTGTCTTTTAGCTTGAACATAATCATTACTCATCAGTGAAATAAAAAAATAGAAGCTGTAATTTAAAAATTTTACATGCATATTGCAAAAGTAAGGCTTATTTTAAATGTATTAATATCCTAAAAATGTAATGGGGAGTAATCAAGTTATCTTCCACATCCTTCGCACATTTGAAAATAGGTAAATTTTCCCAACCTCTTTTCTGTGAGGGACCTTGTACAGTTCCACTGTGTACAGTTCCGATGTTCAAAGAGCCCTAGCTAAGTGATTTGGAAAATTCAATGGTGGTATTACATCTTCAGACTAAACACAACTACAAAAACTGTAAAACAGGCCAGGAAAAGAAATTCTTCTCTCCGTCACTGGAAAATGAACAGTTAATAATTTAAATAAAATAGATCACATTTATGCAGGTTATGCTTCTAAAAGGGAAAAATCACAGGGTTTCAAAGTAAATATAGCCATAAATGATCTCTTTATAACCTGCAGAGGGCACTCTAGTCCCTTGAAAGAAAAAGTAAAAATTTTAAGGGGTGATAACTTTTTTCATTTTTGTTATTCAAAGTGTTATCTAAGCCATTTTAAAACAAAACTACCACTTAAAAATACATTTAAAGGAAACATACACATTGACTTTAAATATTTAATAGATTATTAAAATATACAAATTTTCACATCCTATTGGAAAAACAATTCAGCAGGTGGTTTCCATCCCAGGGCACGTCAGTCTGCAAATGCTGTGCATCATCACACGTTACCACCACCTTCACCGCATTGCCAACATGCAGATTGGCCAGGGCCTTGGAGAAATCAACACAGACTTCAGAGTAACCTGCTGGTAAGGCAGTAAACTATATATGAACAGTATTATAACCATAAAATGGCTGATGAAAAAAATTAGAAGCTAATGGGAAAGCCTTCAGTTCATAAGAGTTTTCAATATTTTGTAAGAGTAATTTCATGAGTTCTTCGGCAATTTTTATTTTAATGAATCGTTTCATTACTGCTAACCAACATTGTGTTTGGAGGGGAGATATTTAAATATTTGACTTTAAATGTTCTTCCTCTGATACTGAAATATTTCATAAGAAAACTCACCAAGTCACACACACTATGCACTATGTACATATTTTATATAGCTTCTTATACATATTTTATATAGTTTCTCTAATGGCATATTTCAAAATACATTGCAACATTTTATTAGCTAAATATTTACTGCATAGTAAATTATTAAAAATACTAGTATCTTAGCAACATAACCAGGGGATCTTGCCTTTCATCTTATATTTTGATCCTCAATTTCTGTGATTAAGTAACTTACTATCAAAAGATATTTGGAAACAGTTTGGTTACTAAAATGAAACTCCAGAGGCTGATACCAAGGTAAGTTAGAAACCTACTTCTTTGAGTCATTGTTTCAATTTAGAAATTGGGCCATAAATACCCTGAGGCAAAAAAATGTGTAAGAAAATTATTTAAATACATACCTTGTATTGCAAACTGCTACTAGAATAATGAACAATTATAAAGTATTTAAAAATGCTTTGTGTATAATAAAATCACTAATAATAATTTAATATTTAAAACAAATTTTGTTAAAAATCATTGTTTCTTTTTTAAGGGTCTTGAAATATGTGAGGAATAGATTCCCAGATTTGCTATCTTGTAAGACAAATAATGACATTGGTAAGTTTTTAAACATGAATTTTTTGAGAAGTCCTAGCAAAAATACATCTTAAAATTTTATTCTTAAAATAGTGTGCAAAATTCCACAGAATATTTCAAAGTTTTAAAGTTATGGAAGAGATACCTTCTTTTCTTAAATGAAAAGAAGGTAGAAGAATGGTAAACAGTACTGTGGAAAGTGGCTATTTTGATAATTCTTAGAAGTATTTCTGTAACGGCATCATTTACCTTTAATGAACAAAAGTCTTCATTATGAATAACAATTAACATAAAAGAAAGCGGGTATCCTTAAGTTGGGAAAATAAGTTGTTTTTCTCAAGAAAGAATAAAGTTAACAAATAAAGCTTTGAAACCAGAAGTCTTAAGAACAGTAATTGTGTATTACATGTTTGCCCCAGCTGGATTCACCACATAGCAAGGCGTTTTTTAATGGGAAGAGAGTGGAAAGAAATCATGCCATTTAATAAAACAGAAGCATTTTTCTCAACCTAAATTGTAGCCACTGCTTTGATTTTTGGGTTACCTCAGGGCTGATAAGTATATACTCCAGTACATGAAACAAAACCAGAAAATATACCTAAAATGTAGTCTTTGTTTCTTCTTTCTTCAAAGCTTGTTTTCTAAAGTCATTCTTAGGCAAAGCAAAAGAAATGTTTGTTTTATTACGCAAGAAATAAACTTCATTTGGTATTCAATTGACTTTCTAACTTAGCAGACAGGACTTTACATCTCCAAATACTGAAAATAAATTGCATTCTTGGCCCTTGCTTTAGAAGGTTAGAGAGAATAAATGCACACCCTGGTAGTATTCTAGTGATCTCCCTAATCTCAGCTGCACTTTGTCAGAACGAGGTAACTGGTAGTTAAGTGAAATACCCTAGATCAAAGGGGGATTAATCACCAACTGAATCCTTGCTGAATAAACCTGTCATTCAAGAAAATTATTTCCCCTGAACTTAGCAGAGGATTGAAGATATTTGCATAACAGGGACCAACGTACTTCAGCCAGGTTAAAAGGTTCAGAATTCATCCTATGTTTAGCTTTTTGCCTCCTTTTCCTTTCAGCAGTGTGGTACAATGGTTTCTAATCTGATAATACAGCTAACTATCTAAATGATGTCAGAACAGGAAAGTATTGCAAAGTTTGGATGAGGGATGGATCAATTTCACTTTCAGTAACTCCTAAATCTGATTTGTTGGAATTTAAGATGTAATCCTAAAAAAGTCCCTTAAACCTGAGGGCTGTTTATTAACATCCCTTTTCTGACCTTTGTCTTAGAAACAACCGTTCTGCTGTGGAAGCGGTCCAGCCCAGGCTCTGGATGACAGCCCCACCCACTCACCTCCCAGGGGCGGAGCAGGAGTCTGTGCAAGTCTCTAAAAGTGGTTTGAAATACTATAATATAAATATTAGTTGTTGTTCTTATGTATAAAATTGTGCTTTCATACAGTATATAAACTCACAATAATTTAACTCAAATATTAAGTTGGTGTGAAAAAAATTTTATCAGACTGTTTAATTAAGAAAACTTTTTAAACAAATAGTTTTTTAAACAACTTTTGACAAGGCTATTATTTACTTCAAACCTGATATTTAAATTAATTATTTAAAAAAATTTAAAAAAAATGCCCACCCCTGTAAGGGTATTGCTGGCCTTAAAAAAAGTTTTAAAAACATTGTTTAGAAAAGAAGGGTTTTATCAAAATCATGAACCATCTTTTCTGGAGCACTCTTTTCAGAAATGTAACACTTTCTGTACCTTTTGGGTCTACTGAAGCATAATTATTTATGTGATAGACATTATATTTCATAATCATATTTTTGCACTAAAAGAGAATTTAGCCATTTTGCATCTAGAGTAGGTGTGATACCATCCAAATCTGGGCAAGTAGGTGCTCATATTCACTGCACACACAAAGCATCTTTCAAGTTAAAAATGCAAAGAATAGTTATCAAAGAAAATGAATAAAATCCATAGTGAGATAATTTTTTAGAAAATGATTGAAGTTTTAACCCAAGAAAGGACTCTTAGAGTGTCTTATAGCTTAGAATAAGAGCATGTCAATCACGATTAAGCTTCTGGAATCGGAATCCCTTTGAAATGCAGCTGTTTCTTCTTTAATTGTGGCAGCAGACTCTCAAGAAAAGAAAGGTCCAGCCTTAAAGATGAGTAAGGAATACAAAATAGCTCAGGATTAGTTGTGGAGTTCAAAGGTCGCTAATTACACTAAGGAGTTCCCAGACACAGGGAAAACATTAAACAGGTCACCTACCAAATGGGAAACGGACTTTGTCTTCAGAAATGATCCTGAAGTGACAGGTTTCTAGACAAAATCAAAAGCATCACAATGTGTCCAGCTGATCTTAACAGGATGAAAACATGAGTTGGTTTCGTTCTGTGATGTAACGTTAGGGTGGGATGGCGACAGATGGCATCAGCTCGCCCACGGCCCACACGCTTTCCAGGACTCCCCAGATTTTCCTCAGGTTTCTCGAAAGGTCAAATCAAAGATTCACTGGTTTTTCCAATTGCTTATAAAGAAAGTTTTCCCTAGGGGATTATTATACCGAATCTTTTGTCTACTAACTAGATAAATGCCTCTTGCCTATTTTAGTGTACTTTGCTAAACGTTTATACAATCAAGATGTCCAAATGGCTCCATTAATATTAACGTAAGTTAAATGTTAAGCTTTCCTTGAATTTAAGAGAGATCAAATAACTTAGGAGAAATATTTTTCTTATTCTTTCAAAAGAAAGCTTTTTACTACTGATTATCTACGATTAAGCTAGAACAACAAGTTAAAAATCCTGGTCAAACAGTTATTCTCTTTCCTTTGTTACTTGGGATAATTTTGAATGGAGAACATTATGCCATGATAATGCCTTGCAGAAAATGAGAGTTTATAATGAGGACTGACTTTAATTTAAAAATCATATTTCAAATCCTAAATTTATATGCAATATTCCTTCAAACTCTTTCAAGGACTTAGCAGCTTTTTCTATGCTTTTCCTTGGGAAACTCATTAAAAAATAGAAACCAAGATATAATTTAATTAAATACAAATTTATAATGTATATTTTTTCATAACACTTCTAATTCTGTAAAACGAAACTTGACATGAATTAAGTTTTGAGAATCTTGAGGTTTCATCTTTTCCTGAATGGTCACTTAAAGTCCAACTTGACAATGAACTGTTTTGGATACAGAATGAGTCATATAACTGTCAAGACAGGTAGAGAATAAAGAGTATGACTAGATTCTGAGGAACACAGAAGAATGCTAATGAGAGAGTAAGAATAAACACCTTCAGTAGAATTATGCAGATTCTTTGTAAGTCAATTGGATAGTTCTGATTAAGAACAGTTAACTGCTTGCACAATTTTCCTTTGTTTTCATTGGCTGTTTTTTAAAGAGATTTACAGTTGTTTCTATATGGTCTCTGGTATTTTGTAACAACACAATGTAGTAGGAGCTTAGTACTCAGGTTTGGAAGAGCAAATAATTTTTTTTATCTTGCACGTCATCTACAATTCATCAGGAGTGGCTGCCTGTAGCTCTGCACTGAAGAGGAGCCTGAGCCTGTATCCAGAAATCTCAGTGGACAGAGGAGACTGTGATTGATTAGCCATGGCTGCCACAGGTGCAGGAAGGACCATGTAGCAGGCTGACCCAGGACTAGTCTAAAATAAGCCTGCAATGAATCACTGGTGGTTTATGCTCTGAATTATTTTTGAGTAAAATCAAAGAGTAACGAAATTGGAGACATTAATCTTTAAAAAAATCTTTTCAAACTATGTCAGACTAAAAACATCAAACAAGAGCATTTTTTAATGATTAAAGCACTCAATGATTTCTCACAGGTTATATGTATACACATTAAAATGAAAGATTATGATTTAATGTAGGCTATGTTACTATTGCATAAATCCCATTTAGACATGAAATAATTATAGTAATAATGATCCATATGTTACTGGAGCAGGAGCTTTAGAATTCCATATGTAATAGTCAGAAGAAATTAGTTTCCGGTCTGAAAAATAAAAGAAAGAAATGATAAGACTATATTATATTAACAAAATTTAGTAAGAGACTGATACTGTAAAATTGTGGAGCATAATTATTTCAAGGAAGGCAACTTTGAAATATTCATTTGATTTTATAAAGGCATACTTACAGCTTTCACCACTTTAAAAACATGAGTTCATTAAAATATTTACATAATCTACTTTTAAGCTTATTTATAACAAATTTATGCCAATATGCCTCACTTATGCCAAATCTGCTAATTTCCCCCCTCACATTTCCCCTAACTTCTGTTTCTTATGGACCATTACTTTGAGAACAAATACTCCTTTTTGTAACCTATTTAACAAGTTCCTGATTCTGATCTTGTAATTATTCTCTACTCAGTCAATGTTTCAGAGATATAAATATACAACCTTCTAATAATGTTTTTAAAAGACTGCTTCAATGGTTTCTTATAGTTTTGATCAAATTTAAGCCTTTTGCTTTAATAGCTTTGTAGCTTTGGACAAATGACAACACCTTTGAACTAAAGTTTTCTGATATACAAAATTAAGATAATGCTAATTCGAACTAGATATATGTACTGTATATTTTGGACTATAAGATGCACTGCCCCCCACCCCCAATTTGGGAGGAAGAATGGTTGTTATTGCTGCTGTTGAGTTCTGTTTATATTTACATTGGTGAAAGATCATGTTATTTATGTTATTAAATATTTTACCACATTTTTTGCTTCAAATTTTTTTCCCTATTTTCCTCCTCTAAAATGTAGGTGTGTCTTATGGTCTGAAAAATACGGTAAATTCTTTTTTTCTTGTTGTTCAAGTTCAGTTGTCTCCATTTTCACCCACCACCTCCATCTGCCTTGTAAATTTTTATTATCATAACCTAGTGATATTATCATATCACTAAATATTCAATTCTGCCTTTTTTTATTTTTCTACTTCATAATTAAAGAATACAGGTAGGATAGCTAGGATATATTACTTTATCTTTTTTTTTCCAGTTTGGGAACTCAACAACATTGAGAGTCAACACAGCATACTGTTTAAACAGCCAGGCTTGGAGACAGACTACTTGGGCTTGGCTGCCAGTTCTGCCACTGACTGACTATGTGACCCTAATCTCTCTGTTCTGTCAGCATTCGCATCTGTAAAATGGAGATAACACTTAACAGGATGTTATAAAGATTCATGAGTTAACACATAAAATATTTAGAACTGTGCCTGGCATACAGTAAACAATAATGCTAGCCATTATTATTTAAATTAACATTTTGCACTCAGTAACTCATGGATATAATCTACAACATTGGTGTTTGAATTTAGACAATGTTAGTTTGTCCAAACTGACATTATTATTTATGCCTCCACCTACATACATACAACTTGCATTATGAAGACTGTTCCACATATATGCATCTCTTTAAAATACTGCCGAAAAATGGTATAGGAGAAAACAGGAAAAACTTTAGGGAGGTAAAGAATATGACATAGAATTACATAAAATTTATTATTGCCCTTTACAAGTAATTGCTTAGAATACTGTAGTTCTGAATTCTACAATTCTTTTGAAAATTTTGAGTAAGAAATCCTGTCCTATCTTTCCTATTTTAAGGACCCTAATTCTTAGCTTAAAAAACTTATCTAAATACAGTAGTTTTATTTTCCTGAATATATGAGGCAAACCATTTCTGCTCATATTTAGCTTATTCTACCTTATTCTAGCTACATTTCTGTTCTATATCACATATGTGTATTTGTTTTGCATTAAATAATTTTTAATTCATTTATAATTACTTTTTGTCTCCCTAAATTTTCATATAGACTGTATACATATTTTGTTACAACCAACAAATCCACCAAAGGCAGAAAACCTTCTTTCTATTGCCTTCTGTTTGTGAAAGAGAGATGGTACTAAATAATGCTCATTGACTACAACATTTGCTAGCAAGTTAAAATTTTAAATAATCATATGTAGCATTTATTGAATGCATACTACACCCAACCATCATGCTAAGTGCCTGGCCAATATAATTTTATTAAAATCTCATGAGTCACAAGGTAAATAATACTATTATTTACATTTTACAGATGAGGCAACTAAAACTTTGAGCAGTTTACTTACTTGCCTAAAATCACACAGATAACAAACTGTCTAAGCTAGACTTAAACCTCTTGTCTGTTCAACACCAAAGCCCCTGTGAGCAACCCCTAAATAACAGTGTATATTAACAAAATAAAATAAATCTAACTTTATACTAACGCCCAACTCGGTCAATCCTTGCCGACCCAGACAATTATAAACAGAAGACAGGGGGCAATGGTAAAGTATAGCAAATGTTACACGGAACAGAATCAGACCAATTCTTATAAACTGGGATTGCTCCCTCATCTTTTTCTGTTACATTTTGATTTTACCTTAGGTAATAAGTGCATAACACCATTTTAATTCCCTCAAGTCAGTATGAATCTATACAACTTACATGTACTTATTTTTGGTTTTCCTGATGCAAAAACTTGAACAGAATGCTGATCTGCATAACATCCAGTAAGTGTGTAATCTAAGATCCTAAAACGAAGCTGGAAAAGGAGAAATGTACCAAAAATTAAGGTGATTCTTTGGTAAAAAATAATGGTCACACTTTTTCCTTTGGCACAATTTTAGGAATTTACTTTACAAAGTTCACAAAATTAAAGTCACAGAATATTAAACCTGAATATTGGGTGTGTGCATATGTACAAATATACATACACCATTTCCCCTTCTCATTACGGCCATTTCTTTGTAAGGCTGGCATTATGAAGTACTTCACATGTACCACTTCGCTAACATGAACTCTAATCCTGCAAAGTATCCCTACTGTACAAACGAGGGAACTGAAGCTAAGAGCTGGCATTTGAACTCAGACCTGACTGATTACAAAAGCTGATGCTCTGTATATTCTTTTCTATCTCTAAGGCTATGTGGTATATTTAGATCATAATTCTTCTACAGGCAAAAACATATACATGTTCTAGCAAAACATAAAAATGCAATTACTAAAAGAGAAACACCAGTTTATTCTGGTGTTTAGAGGAAATGAGATGCTGTACTTAATGGTCTAGAAAGCTGAAATTTAATTTTTATATAACTAAGCTTAGAAATCACCCTTTCTCTCACTTACAAAAGCTTTCTAAAATGTAATCCTTAATTCCTAGGTCTGATTGATAGTGTGGTATCATCAGTATAAATGCCAATTATTATTTTGCACTATAATAAAAAGGGCCATTAGTACCATCTCTGAAAGCAGTGCTGCGTGCCTGCGTCACAATGACAGTCACAGGAACTAGGAACGTTCTGTAATTTACACGGCTCCAGTCTCCTTTTGCTGTGCTTCTCTTCATCTTTGCTGCTGAAACTGCCTGATTTTGCAATATCCTGGTATCTTTTACTATGCTCTTTTCCTCTCATCTCCCTTCTCTGCAAATTTCTCCTATTTCTTAACTTTCTCCTTTCAATTACCAAACCAACTGATCACTTTCATAGAATGTAATTTTTAGATCTTTGACATTTTTCTCAAATTATCTCAATAGTAAAGGTTTTTTTGCTTGTTTAATATAATTCTGGATGCTTAAAGTTACAAGACTGACTTCCAAAAAACTAGATATTATATAAATCTATTTAGTGAACACAGATACGTAGTACATACTTTTGATGAAACTGTAAGTGGTTAGGTGATGGAAATGAATAGAAAAGTCATAATCCCTACCTTTGAAAAACATACAGTTTAGTGATACCCCACATTTTTTTCTGAAAGATATCTGGAAGCAGGAATTTTTAAAATGATCCTTGAAACATAGCTGGTGGACATAGTTGAAACCAAGACAGAAGAAATAAGTATCACAAGTGTACTTCTGACTTCACCATTTCCCCTAAAGCTCTCATGTATAGATTTCAATCTCTTCTTTGATACCACTCTGTGTAGGTTTTTCTGCTACCTTTTTGATCACCTCTTCAAGTGCCTTCATTGGTTCTTCTAAATCTTCCTCCTTCTTTTATCTTTTTCTTGATCTTATTTCTACTGTCTCAACTATGGTATTTCTTATCTACAGATAACTCCTAAGTCCTGTATATAGTTGAGCTCACTTTTGAGAATCAAGTTCCAAGTTGTTAGCTACCTACTAGATACTTACACTGGGATATGTTGCTGCCAACAGCAACATACATGACATGAAATGCACTCCTCTCAACTTTCTCCATATCCGTATTATCTTCTAAGTCCTATATTGATCCACTCATCAAATATTTATGTGGCAGGTACTGGTCTAGATATTGGTAGTAAAACAACAAATGAATGAGACTCACATGGTCTCTGCTCTCTTGGAGCTTCATCTGGTTTAAGCGACATATTTAAACCAGAGGCCCCCAACGTTTTTGGCACCAGAGACCAGTTTTCCCACAGACTGGCGGTGGAGGGTGGTACTGGTCCACGGCCTAGGGGGATGGGGACCCCTGTTTTAAATAACATCATCTTTGATTTAAAACTATTTCTTGTCTCTATATTCAATTAGTGATCAAGGCTTTACCTTTATTACAACTCCTACAGCAGTCTCTTTCTTTCTCTTTCTGTGATACCACAGGAGCTCAGCATGATTACTTTGTTACTTTTCAACCAGAATACTATTAGAGCTAAAAAAATAGTTTATTTATAGTTACTATTTCTTTTGCCTTCCTCACATACATTCTAGATTAATCTTCATAAAGTATCACTTTCTGAAAGAACATTCCCCTCTCCAAAAAATTCTATTTTCTAACAAAGGAATAGAAGTCAGATTCAAATCCTCTATAATCCAGATCTAAATCTTATCCAGCCATATGTGTTACTATTGTTCTTGATACTGGTTCCTACTTGCTTTGTTATCCTTCATTCTCATGATTAAGTTACCTCTTTAACCTATAGAAATGTTAGTCAATCTTCATGGTTTCATATTTATGCTTAGCTGGGTCTCAGAGTTTTGTTTAAATTCTATCTCTACTGTAATGCTTTCCTTGACCACTTTGGTCAGAGGTGCTCATTCTTTCCTTGAAACACCAAAAACAATTAGCACTGATCAATTATTGACATGGACCACTGAAAAAAATCCCTAGAGGAAAAGGACTACATCTTACATTTTTGGTATACAAATCTCAAATATGGTAATTACAGCTAGGCAGAACTAGACTGAGTTGAGATGTGTAGGCCATACTTACCTGTTTCACCTTAAAAGTTTTACAGTATAAACTGAAATAGAAAATGACTAATACTAAACAAAAAGAATCTTGCAAAAATAAAAAAATAGCACAGACAAAAAAGTACACACCCAGAATTTAAAAAACAGTGGCTAGCAAACATTAAAAATCAATTAGCTATATGCAATTTAGAAACGAAGGAAAGGTTTCTAATATACTGAATCACAAAAAATTATTTACCTTTAAATATGCTGTATTCCCAATGCAAATGTGGTCAAATGGCTGCTTCTCATGGTTCTTGGCTCCAAAAGTTACAGTTCCAGAAAGACTAATTTCCATTGATTTTGGGAATTTCTGTCCTAAAAACAAAAATACACAAATCCTAAGTTAAGTAGATTCTACAGCTAATGAATGAAAAATAATCAATAAATAAAACCCAGCTCACCAATAATCCAGATCAATAAGCTTTTCTCTCGAAATACTTCTAGCTGGCCAAAACTAACTTTGTATTCCACATGTGTGATTGGACCTCTTTAAAAAAGGACACAATAAAAAAAATGATCACAGATACAATAATTTTAAGAAATTTAAGTCAAATCTTGCTACTGTTAATATAAGAAAAGATAAAAGCATTTCTACATACAAGGTTGCAGGGGAGAGTAGGACAAATAATTATTATATCTCAAAAAAACACCAGAAACACAATAAACATTTTTGGTGATGACATATATTTCATTATTAATTCTGAAGACATTTTTGGTGATGATACATTTTATTATTAATTCTAAAGACAACTATAAAAATCATACAGAATAGTCATATGGATTGACGCAACATTAAAACTATGACTTTATTATACATTCGATACCCTTTGAAAAGAACTATGCCGTAGAACAAGTTTAAGAGTAGAATTATGAGGAAGCAGTTCACCCTCGAACAGCACAGGTTTCCTACACAGTTCAAATCCACGTTGTTTAAGGGTCAACCTTTCAAATCCATGGTTGGGATCTATAGGTGTGGAGGGGAAACTGTAGTTAAATTTCTGAAGGCTCAAAAGTTACACATGGAGTTTTCCACTGTGCAGGGGTCAGTGGTCCAACCCTCAATTGCTCAAGGGTCAACTGTAATATTATGATTACAGATAGCTGATAGTTGAGCTTGACCTGACTTGTATGCAGAGTACATAGAAATTGTTAGAAATAAAGCCAGGAGTGAAATAATCTCTGAGAAAGCTACACTGGTGTAAGTTAATATTTACTGGCAGGTTTAACCAAAAATAAAGACACGTGTAAAGGTAAACAGATTATTTTTACTATGTTTTGGTTCAGAATCAGAATTCATTTGAATGACATAAAAAATCTTAAAAATAAGGTAGAAAAACAAACATGGATAATTTATTGTGGGGCAGTGAAAATGTACTAAGGAAGGAAGAAATTATGGCATCATGTTATTTTATTCCTACCTATTGTAAAAGGGTATATGAGCTTCACAGAATTCAAAACTGTTTTTCACACTTTCATGAAGTTTTAAATTAGCCGTTATTTTTAGTTGTACTCCTTCCTCTTTCATTTGATAAAAGCCCAAAATAGGTGGGACAGGAACCTGGAAATAAACATAAACTTTTATATAATACTAAGGTTAATAAGTCTAAAATATCAATGGTGATTTATGAAAAGTCTTGCAGTAATATGCTCATTATATACAGATATGTCTTTAATGACTACTGGGTTACTCCAAGTCATTTGGATAATAGATGATGGAGTTACATTTGTTGTAAGTGCACAGATTCTTCCATTTCTTTCTATTTTCAGAGATGAGAAAGGTGCTTACAAAGGTGTGTAGTACATTCTGACATTTTTTTTGCTACTCTTGTTAGTCTAGGTTCCCCTCTTTCCCTCCTCCAGATTCTCTATGACCTGCAATACAGGACATGCAGTAACACCCTGTCCAAGGTTCCTGCTGCCCTATTTAAAAATTGTGATTACCCCCTACCCATCAGCTCAGCAGCAGCTGACTTAATTGGTTATCAGTAATTGATTGAAAGGGAGACAATCTGTAGGGTAAATGAGCCAATCACTATTTCTGGTACATATGAAGTGAAAAACAGGAAGCACCTATTCTATAGTATATATCCTAGAGCTGGAGGACAGCTGCAAGCAGAGAAAGCCAGTTGGAAAAGGAGACTGAGAAGCAGGGATGAGACAGGCGGTGTAGACCTTGAGTACAGAGTGATTTTAATTTTAATTTTCTGACTCTAGTTCCAGTATAGCCTGGGTCTTCTACTTTTCATCCCTGAATGACAATGAAATTGCCTCCTATATACTCAAAATAAACTCTCTTACTTCAGCTAGCATGAGCATGTTTTTCCAAACTACAGATTCACAATTACAAGAGACAAATGGTATAGTAGAAAAGATGTGGGTTTCAAATGTAGGCTCTGCAACTTATCAGTTATGTGACCTTATACAAGTCATTTAACTTCTCTGAGACTCTCCTCATCTGTAAAATGGGGCAAATAATACCTATTTCTCAGGGGTCTTAAAAGTACTAGAGAAAATACATGTGAAGTGCCTATGACAATGTCTAACATATAGCAGTTATTCAATAAGCAATAAAGAGCTATTAGTAATATTATAATTTGTAACCACAGTTGCCTAGGATAACAGAGATATCTTTAAATGCTCACAGTTCAAACAATGACTAAATCATATCAAGTTCTTTCTTATGAGCATGAATTCCTTATTAGAGAACATTAAAAAAATTCCATGATTTTGAAAGCCATTCAGTGCTGTTACAGACACCGGAGATTAAGAGGCATCCTAGTTAAAGAACTGAACCTTCACCGTCATCAATAACTCTCTGGTAAATAACTCATAAAAAGTTTTCCTTTGGACCAAATGTATGACTTTCCAAGTCTCAACTTTTCTGAGGTTGTTTACCTGGGAGGTGTAGTAGCATAAGTTGAATGACTCTAAAGGTGGACTGAATGGAAATTTGTAAGGTCCACTAAATGCGGAATCATCCATTGCATCAATGCTACTAGAAGTCAGAATGGCAGAGTCAAGAGAAGTCACACAAGGATGAACTAGAATATCCTGAAGTGGAGATCCATTGGTGGGGAGACTCAAGCTGATGGTAACATTTGGCATGATTCCTTCTAAATCACACTGTAATACAAAAGGAAACACATTACCAAGATCTTAGAAGCACAAGTCTTCTGGGTGAGGTTTTCCTGACTTTATCTGAGTCATTTTCCACAGTGTAACTCACTTTTCTCTCAAGGTATTGTTCTCTGTGCTTTCTGTGTTCTTGTTAACAGTTTGATCATGCTCTCAGACATCTAACCCAGAGACCAGGAGAACCTTCCTGGAGCCCTCTGCCTATATTTACAACCCTTAAAAAGCTATTTCAAATCCACTGACTTCTCTCCATTTCTGTTGCAAACACGTTGGTACAGGCCCTCACAATTTTTGTCATAGTCCTTCTGAAAGTATTTGGATTTATTTTCTTCTAATCAATCGACCCTCAATCAGTGTCAAGTTATCTTAATATAAAAGATAATTCTCATTATATTTCGACCACATTCAAAACCTTTCAGTATTCTCTCAGTTTTGCATTACTTTTAAAGCCTGTCATTGCTTTAATCATTTTTCTATCCCGCAACTAATGCTGTAGACATAGGATGCTTTAATTTTCCTGAATAAATTATAAAGTATTTCACCTCCATGCTTTTGCATGTGCTATTCCCTCCAGCTACAATCTTCTTTTCTCCTTGTAATCTCAGCTTATTTGGTGCTTTGTGCCAGTCCTTACATTCTGTATTGTCACCTCCAGAGCCTACCCCTGCCATGGAGACAAGCCCAGGATCTTTTTCCTGTGTGGTCTGGATTAGTTTGCCAATGAGAGATACTCACAAGAGACTTGGAAGGTGGAAGGGAAAGGGAATTCAGTATTCTAGGAAGGTCATGGAAGGTCAAATTTGACAGCTTCACAGACCTCTATTTTTCTTGGTACCTCTTAGTGTCTAGCACATGGCTATGCATAAGAGACACTCAGAATATGTTTGCTGAATGGGTTATTGTTTTCTAACTTAGAAGCCTACCTTCATTTACCATTCTAATACGAAATGTTTCACCTTTTTGTTTTATCTACTGCTTGACATATGTGTGAATTCAAGAATATATGTGCTATAAAATGTAAGCATATAGGGAGCAGGCAAACATATAAACAGTACCATGTATACTTAGTGTCCTATAAAGGTCTTTGGTAACAGTTACAATAACATCAATCACATTTGAAAATAAAGATGCCCAATAATCTTACTATAAAACTTTAAAATATTTTAGTGTTTCAACTTCTAAACCATCTGCTACTTCACTTTCTACATGTGAACTAGCAAGAAGTTATGATTTTAGACAGATATTTGTGAAGATAATAAAATAAGCAAATGTTAATAGCAAATACTATTAAATTTTAAAATATTCCATTTATACTTATTAAATTAGCTTCTAACATTCTTACAGGGATCAGAAAATTGTAGCCATTATGGAAACCACCAACAAATTATCCACTTCCTAGGCATTTAAAAGACCAGATCAGCAGTCATTTACTATAGAATAAGGATGTCTGTTCCAGAACAAATCTAGGTGCTACACTTTAAATCAGTCTAGCATATGTAAACATAGACTCTCATCTAGGAACTATGAAAACAGAAGGGACCTAGGAGTTTATCTGATTTTTAAAATCAGGAAAGATTTTAAAACATTATGAATTTTCCAAAGGCACACAGAGAGTTAGTGGTGGAGTGGGGACTAGAACTTCAGTCCATTGGCTTTCGGTTGACTACCATGACTAAGACAAAATGAAGATAATTACTTCTATTTATAATAGGCTTCACAATAAAACTCCTTTAAATAGGAAGTCCCTGAAATACTTAAAAGATGTTTGGCTAACAGATACACTATTTACATATAAGTTTAAAGAAACATTTAGTGTGTGGGTTAAGGTACACCCTTGTACTTTTTATTTTTAGAATAAAGTTTTTCAAAGAAGCAAGTTTTCCATCATGATAATTTGTATCAGACAAGGAACAGGACTCAATCCAAAATCTCCACACACAGTAAACTAAGGGTCAGCTTATTAACAAACTGAGATATTTAAACAATATTAATTAATAGTAAATGATATATAACATATCGCCTATTTATTGTCACAAATAAAAAAAAAACAGAATTGATGGTTTTTCCTACTTTTATCTCACAGAATTTATGAGAAAAAAAGGATTAAACTGTTTTAAGACTTACAAATAACAATCCGAGGACATCTCAATTTTGAAGCTCTTCAAGATACCTACTTCTAGTGACCTCAGTAACGACTATGTGTTTTTGATCATGATGAAACTGAGTTTAACATACTAACTTTTAGATCAATTTAGGTTGAAAGGGAAAAGGAAGACCCAATTTGTCTGTCAGGACTGTTCTACTTCCCTGTTCTTGAAATCTGTTTTTATCTATAGAAGTTGTACATAGCTACTCAATACTAAATGTGAGATAGAAAAAGTTTATATTCATAATGCAGAGAATAAAGAAAGGTATCAGAAAAATAAAGATATCTGAGAATATTAATATGTACTTTTAAAAACTGTACTTGGAAGGTTTTTATTTTGGATCATTATTCAACATGGTACTGATCATTGCTAACTTATTGTTTTTTTTGTCTTTTCCTGTTTTCTAACCAGATAACCCTATATTAACTCACTGACTTGTTTAAATAAAACAAGAGCCCTTCTAAAGGGTTTTAGATATTAAATCAAAGGTTTGTCAATTTCATCCCTGCCAGAGAAAATGGAAAATAGATATAGTGGTTTTAAAATATTTTCACAGATTTTTACTCTTTTTGAAAGATAAGTCCAGCCCCCTCCCTCGAATGTGGACCGGACTTAGTGACCTGTGCTAACAAATAGAAAACGGTGAAAGTGATGCTCTCTAACCTCAGTCTTGGTAATAAAAAATTGCTTCTACCTGTGCCCTGTGTCTGTCTCTTATCTAATAATTTGATCTACAGGAGACTAGTCACTAAGCTGTGAGGACTTTCTCCAGCAGCTTGTTGAGAAGGCCACATGTAAAGGAACTAAGTCCTCCTACCATTAACTGGTCATGTGAATGAGCCACCTTGCAAGTCTATCTTGGACCCCCACAAAAACTTTAGGTGACATTGCTCCAGCTGATACCTTGACTGTGATCTCATGGGAGACTCTACACTATAAGTTCCAGCCAAGCTGTTCCTGAAATCCTGACCCACAGAAAGTATAAGGATAATAAATGTTCTTTGTTGGGACATTGGGCAATTCATTACAGAGCAATATATAACTAATACAGTTAGTAGGAATGCAAAAGGTACCTTTACTAAGTTTGACATGAATCTAACATCTAATGATTGCTGTTTATGATAAAAATCAACAATGTCACTTAAAAATGTAAACTAAGGTTAGCAAATTTTATTTTCTCCACAGATGATAAAACAAGTACCAGAGAAGAATCTCACCTTGCAAGTGACAGCTCCAATTACTTGCCATGTATCTGCTATATCCTTTTTATCATATTGCATAGAGTTCACCTTTTCAGTGATAGAAATAGAAACTTGTGGTTTTCCTTTGTATGTTCCAGCTTTCCAGGCTGGTTGTTTTTGTGGATGAGACACAGAAGCAAAATTCATGCTATCCAATGAATTCTGTAAGTTGGCATCTAGCAAAGTTCCAAATGGGCATGCCTGCAGAAGCAAGTCAGGCAGTTGGCTCAATTTTGTATTTAGCTCAGTGTCATTTTTTTGACTTGAGTAAAGAAAATCCTGTATCCCAAAGAGAAATTCAAAGCCTTGTGAAATTGCACTAATGCTAATTAATGGTGGACGAGGGGATAAAGACTGTTCAACTAGTGGAACACAAGCATATATCATGCCATTCTTCAGAAAAGCAACCACTGGCCAGAGTTCTTCACCTCCCACCTTAAGTCCATAGACGGAGGTTTTATTGATGTGAGAACAGTTATCAAGACTCTCCACGAAGTCCTTATCTTCATCGAGTAATCTAAGTTCGAAGAGCAGTGATTTAAGAAAGGGACCATCTTCAGGAATAGGCACAAAACTTGCTCCATTGAAGACTTTGGCTCGTTTTTCAACAGTTGGATACCGCCTACAGTATGGAAACAAAAACATTACAAATGATTCTTCCAAAAAAATAAACATGAAAGAATCCCCCCCACAAAAAAACCCCCTCAAAACTGAGGTAAACAGTAATAACAAAATATATAATAATACCTACACACACACAAAAACCACAACCTAAAAAATATTTTATTACATGTTAAGTTCTGACTCTAGTAATTGTTGTATACTTAGTATATTATCTCAAATGATAAAGTTTTATCTATTTCTAAAAATAATTCAACTTAGTTAATTTTTTAAAATAGGTAGAGCACATGGTTCTAATTCAAAATCCTAAGTCTCTCAGCCATTCAGATTCCCACTTGGCAGGCAAGGACTATATACACATTTTGGGCATCTTCAAGAACTATTCCCTCAGATTCCATCTTAGTAGAGTAGGATCAAAAGAAGTGGTTTGATTTAACCCTCTATAATTTTGAATTCACTAGCTGAAATGATACAATTGTAAAAGGAATGTTCTATTCTACTCAACCTATTATGAATAACAGGTACCCTGAGTTTTCTTGCCAACCCCTACAAACATATATGAGCATTTCAGTAATAATGGTTTACCCCTCTGGCCCTGGAAGATAGTATGAGGTCATAAAAAAGAATACAATCTGAATAATTTTTTTATGATTTGCATGTTTTAGGGTGCATGGTAAGTTACTACTAATTCACCCCTTCATGTGGGAAATCAGATTAAAAGGTGCTTTTGTTCATTTACAGAAATGTTAGGTCAGGTTTTCTTAGTTCAGAAAACTTTCCCTATTCCTTACCTCTCTATTCTATAGTCCAGTACAAAGTCACCTACTGGCTATTAACTTCCCTGTATATCACCTAACTTCTCCAAGTCTTTTTTTCTTATTTGTAAAATAAAGAGGTGGCTAAAGAATATACCAGTAATTCTCATCAAGAATCAAGAATATACCTGGTAAAGATAATTTTTTCACTAATTCTACTAATAAAATACTGATGTTTACTATTCTTTAAAAAGAAAATAAGAATGTATTCAAAGTGATAAATATAGTAAACCTCACTCATTTACATTCTGATGCATTTGTTTGATTGAGAAGGGGAAAGAATCAGCACTCTAGTAAGGGAGTAGCAGGTAAATGCCATTTCTTTCTTTGAGTCTCTGAATAAAAATCATTGAGGACTTTGGACTAAATTCTAGTACAGTGTCTTATCCTCCAGTTACCTAAAGGATAATTAAATTTCTTCTTATGTGAAAGATTCTTATGACTGAATATAAACATAAGTTAATCTGGGACCTTTTACAATGGTTCAATATGTGATCAATAAATATTTTTGTTGGGTAACTCAACCTGTCATTTTAGATTTATTCAAGGCCTTTTCTAAAATAGGACTCACACCTTAAATGGCCCTACAACTATGAGGTATGATACTAACCTCAGCCAGACTTAACCCAATACTATTTATCTGGGCAGCAAACCTCTGAAATAGAATCTAGACCAAGATTTTTTTTTTTTTGTGGTGGAGAGGAGAGGAAGGGGGAGTAAATAGGGAAAAGATCGTTTGCCTTTTTAAATCTTAAGTGATGGCCATTATCCTTTGGGATATATGTGGATAATATGCCAGTACATATCTGTTTAGCCCTACCCCCAGCCCCAAGAGGAAAGAAAACTGAAATAGGAAAACTTAACTAGTTCATTCAATGATACAGAATTAGTAAGCGACAAATGAATTATTTGAACCCAACGTGCTGCTTCCATAGAGATGCTGAAGTGCCTACCCAAACACACCTTTTTCTTCTGAAATATTCTGAGCACAGTGGGAAAAAATTCTGAAAACAAGCATGACTTCTTTAAGGAGCTTATTTCTGTAAGCAGGAAAAATCTGACCTCTTTTGAGATAAGTTACAAAGCCACAGATATAAATACAGTATGGTACTGGTACAACAACAAATAACGCAACAGAACTGAGACAGATCAATGTTTATATGGGAAACACAATAAACTACCAATGGCTCCATAAATCAGTGAAAAAAAAAGTATGTATTGTTTGGAAGGCGATGTTAGAAAACTGGCCCACAGTATAGAGAAAAACAAACTGGGATTCCTGTATTAACAACATATCCAAAGATGGACTAAATGTAACAGGTACAGTGATAAACTTAGGAAAACGTAGGAAGATATCCTTGGGAGACAAGCATAGGGAAAGACTTCAACAAATCTCATGCAGCACTAACTACTTTGCTTGCAATAAACTCAGTGATTTCTGTTTAATCAAAGGCAACATCAGGTAACTGGCAATGATAAAGTATTTGTAAGAGCTAAAAAAACAACATGGGACTAATGTCAAGAATACACAGTAAACTCCTGCACATTAACTGACATTGCCCCTTCCCCAGCGAATCTGAAAGAAAGAAAATGAACAAAGAATATCTATAGGCAATTCACAGAACAGGAACCCAAGGGCTAACAGTCTTTGCAACACAGAGAAAATGAAATGAAAATAAAATGCTATACTGGCAAAAATTGAGTATTAGGAAAGAAAGGAGATATGGGAAACCTTTGCTCTCTGCTGATGATGAGAGTGTAGACTGGAGAAAGTATTATGAAGAGCCAATTATTTGGCAATATTTAGTCAAAATCAGCATAGATATGCCCCATGGACCTTTTGAGAATATCTACTGCAGCCCAGTTTTGATGGCAGAGCTGGAGGTAACCGGGGATACCTCAATGGGGAAGAGGATAATAAGTCAACGTGTGGAGGGTGAACTATGGAGTACTAAAGAGTAATGACCAAGACCTGCACTTGCCAGTGTAGAGGCCACTATCCATGTTACTTTTTAAACTTAAAATTAGCTCTGGCTGGTATAGCTCACTGGACTGAGCACAGGTCTGCAAACCAGAGGATCGCGGTTCGATACCCAGTCAGGGCACATGCCTGGGTTGCAGGCTAGTCCCCTACAGGCCAGTTCCCAGCAGGGGACGCACTAGAGGCAACCACACATTGATGTTTCTCTCCCTCTCTCCTTCCCCTCTAAAGATAAATAAATAAAATAAACTTAAAATTAACTATATAAGTAAAATGGGGAGTACTTTTTATAGACCAATGAGGCTAATGAACCATATTAAAGAATATTATTAACCCCCTTACTTCAGGTATGATAACAAATATAAGTCAGGTGCTCTGGGGGGAAATGCTAAACTCCAACTGTGATGCCCTAACAAAAACTGTTTAGGTTGCAAAGTGGGAATTTTTCATGTTCACATTGCCAACCACTTTTCACTTAAATTTGCACTCATCTTTATCTGTCTCAACCTCAATTCAGAGCTATACTACTTCACTATAGAGCTTTCCTCAGGGAAGAATTAATTTGTTGGCAAGACCAAATTGTCATAGGCACTGAGAATAAAAGGTGAAACAAATTACTCGCACCCACATTTTACCAAGAATTATTGTACAGTACTCTTCACTGAGCCATTTTGATCAAATGCGGCAAATTCTAAAAATGAAACCAGATCAGCTTACATTATCTAAGAAATAGTGAATACAATTTAATTTTTGTACTTTTTCAATTTTATTCAACAATCAGGAACGTTAAGCTATCTGAAATTTTCTAAGAATGAAAAAAGAAACGCGGTAAGATGAAAATAGCAGTCTGGCATTGCCCAGCAAGGATCCAGCGCCATTGACTGATTTTTATTAATGAAGGAAAAATTTTAAAACGTATAGTGCTCAGTAAGTTTCCTTCCTTTCATCATCCCCAAGTCATTGCCAAGCAGGTAGAGTTAATTTTAAGATACCGTGATACTAAGTAACAGTGTATTAGAAAACACATAATATTGAATATGTGTCAGGCGTCAACTCATTTCATTCTCACAACACTAGGAAGTAGCATTATTAAAACGTTCACCCGACTGATGAAACAGGTTAAGTGATTCCCTATGCACTGCATCACAAACTATGCTACAGGATCCATCCCTCCGAGTGATCACCCCTGACGATTCAGACTTCAGACCTGGAGAATCTGACGGTGCCACAAAGTGGGGTTCCCGGTTCGTGGCTTATGAGCCACACTGCTCGCTGAGCCATGATAAGCCGCTACAACAGCCGTTCACTTCCAAAGCCGCCACGGAGGAAAAGCGCAGACCAACTATCTCAGATGCACTTTTATTCATCCGCACCCCTTCTGCTCCACCACAAACACGTCGGGCTCAGCAGAGAATCTAGTTCCTTCAAATGAAGAGAAAACCTCTGAGTTCGTCCGGGCCGACCCAAACTACAAAAAGTTCTGTGAATCCTCACCTAGAATCCCGAGAGCTCAAATATACCCAAGCAACCCTCACAGTTGCTTCCTCTAAATTCCACTTCCGGGATGGTGGCTCGCAAGGACCAAGGTTCCTCGCTCGCCCGAGCGACAAGCTTCAGCGGTTTGCCGGCTAATCGTTTTCCAGGTCTACCCCTCCCGCAGCCGTGCCGGCGCGCGCAGCTCCACTTCCGGCGTACGAGGCGGTGACAATGGGAGCAGCGCGGGCGGCGCCGGGAGGCAGCTGACAGGCGTCCTCAGCTTCGCTTCATGGCCGCTCTCCAGCCCCGCCTGGACTCGGTGGGAAGTCGGGGAGCCCGCAGCGTCCCGGAGCCGGAGCTGGCGAGCTGAGCAGGAACCTGTGTGCGGCGCCGCTGAGGCGCAGCATGTGAAGAGGAGACGGCGTCCAGCGCGAGGCGAGCCTCTCAGCCGGCCGGGATGGCTACGACGGCCGAGCTCTTCGAGGTGGGTCCAGGCAGCTTTTTAGGGAGTGACAGGCCCAGGGTGAGGATAGCCCGATGGACGGAGTGAGAAGTGAGCTTTTGGTCACCCGCGGCCCGAGAGCAGCCCTCGGAGGAATGGTGCGAGAGCGGAGGGGTGGGGCGGCGGCTCGGGTGTCGGCGCAAGCGGAGCGTGACTTGGGGGAGGGGTGGCACGGGGATCGGGATTTGCGAGGGAGGGAACCCGGAGTCGTAAAGGAGAGAAGGGGGCTTGGGAGGTCGGGGCGTTGGAAGATGTACTCGTGGTGAGTGGTGGGAAGGGCTGGCCCGGGCGCGGAAAGAGGAGTCGGGAGCTCCAGGCAGGGCGAGTCCTGTCTTTTGGATCCTCGCGTAATTTTTTCAGGGTTCCACCTGAGATCCGGACGATGGGGGGCTTCTCGTTCTTTGTAATCACAGCGTTAGTAAATAGAAGTGGCACGCGCCTCTTGCCCATTGACCCTTATGTTGGAAAAGGCCGAAGTGTTTTTTAGCACAATAAAGGCCTGCTGAGCCCTTGAGAATCATCGGAGGCAAAGCTAAAATGAACATGTGTGTGCGGGTCTCGGGGAGTTGGCGTGTGTTACAAACGCCCGAACTGCGAGGGCGTCCTTGACTCGGAGATTGTGAGCGTGCTGCTGTGTTTCCTTTTAGTTCCCAGTCTCTGAAAGTTATATTTAATTCAGTGAGATCCAGTGTGGGAAGCTGCAGTGTTTGAGATTATAAAATAGGAAAATTCTCACTGGACCACAAAACAATGAAACGTATGAAGAAAGCGTCTCCTTTTGTGAAAGAAATGGAAACGAGATATGAAGAAAAAGGAAGACTAGTTCTGTGCTTGCTTGTTTCTTATTGAGTAACAAAGTGGGAATTGAGAAGGTCGCAGGTGACAATAGAGAATTTCTCCAAAAGTGAAAACTGCTTTAGATACAGTAGTTATTTCTTTTCTATTTGGCTTAAACTGGAAACCCCACCGTTTTTATTACAACTGGGAATTTTCACGTTTGTTACTGTTACTATATTTCAGGTTTCTGTCAGCTTTCGGATCGATACTGCTTTTGTTGGGAGGAATATCATGCCGTTGTTATAATAATTTGTAATAAAATGGTGGTTTGAGAGTGAAGGGCTTATTTACAAGAAAGAATTTGGAAATAGTAATTACACTTTCTCATATTTAAGTATTGAGTACATTAACTTTTCTGATCCATTTGTTTATTGTTTGACACAGGAGCAGGAAGACATTCTTTTTAAAGCTTTTACTGTGTGTTATTGGGCATGATGCTGAAGTAGTTGTGTAGTTCCTTGTCTTTTTTATTTACTTATTTATGTATTTTTTACATCTTATCAAGGTAGATACAACTGCAACTATTTTTAAAGTTGCAATTTGTAATATACCTAATGAAATACTTGGCTAGCTAGCTTTTAATAGAAAACTGACTTTATCATACCGTTCCTAAGGCATTAATCTTTGAGTTAATGAATACTGTGTGTCGTTCATTCCCAGTTGTGTTTCAAACAAAACTGTGTCTGTTTTTCTTTAAATGTTTTATCACATGAGTTCCACATAACTTACATGAAAATATATTTGATTTATGCTCCCCTCCAGGAGGAGGGGAGGAGGTACAGAAATACATATTTTGCTTTTTAGGGTCTCACCAAAGTAGTTAAACCAAATTAGTCTTTGACTTAACTCAGTGACCCCAGTTATGTGATAGCTGGTAATATTCACTTAACTGATAGAGCGCTGATTTTTGAACCGGTGAGCTGCAAGAATTTTTAAAACCTGCAGTGTTTGACTATTTAGTCAGGGGCACATACCTCTTTTCCCTTAGATTGTCAAATAAAAAAAATGACAACAGCCAACACAACAATGGCTGTCCAGTGTGAATGAATCTAAATTATACCAATTTTTTGTCAGATCAGCAAAAAATCCATGTTTTGATGTGCCATAGAATTTTAGTAATTAGATTATGTGTACCATGAGATGAAAAAGGTTGAAAATTGCTGCTGATAGGGTAATAATGATAGAGACAGACTAGTTCTTTGGCCGAAAGGTTCATAGAGCAATTTTAAACATTCTTATGGATCTTAACTCATGTGACTTTTTTTTCCTGACCATGTTTGTGGTTTGTTGTTTCATCAATATGAAAAGCACTATTACATCATTACAGTTAAATGTTAAGAATGATTAACAAATGTATTTACCTTTTCATCCCTAGAGTGGGCTCTCTCCTCTTGAGTAAGTTTTCATTCCTAAGTGAAAAATTGGTCTCTTTGCTGTAGAGGGAGGAGAGAGATAAAAAACCAAACCTCAGGCATTGCTGCTGTTTCCTGTTGCTGCTTGGATAGGCTCTAGGTTGCAGGGCAAGTCAGGGAGTGTCTTTTCCTCGCTTCCCTTTCTTGGTCACAACTGGACAGCTGGAGAATTGTGGGAAGCAGAGGTCAGAACATAGTCAAGGATATTTTGTTTTTATGCAACTTGGTTTTAATGCACTATTAAGTTGAATTGTGCTTTCATTTGTCCACATTGAAAGAGGTCAAATCAATACAAAATCTGAATTCATGAAATCTCATTTGTTAACTCTACTTCTTTTAAAATCTTATTAGTTTCATGAGACTGCCTTTTTTTTTTAACTTGAACACCTTAGTACAACAAAATTAATTAGAGGATATTTTCTCAGTTTGCAGAAATGATTAGTAATATTTTCAGTCATTTTAATAGTGAAGTATCCACCCTGGGTGGTGTGGCTCAATGGATTGAGTGCCAGCCTGCAAACCAAAGGGTCGCTGGTTTGATTCCCAGTCAGGGCACATGCTTGGGTTGTAGGCCATGTCCCCAGAGGGGCACACAAGAGGCAACCACACATTGATGTTTCCCTCCTTTTCTTTCTCCCTCCATTTCCCTCTCGCTAACAATAAATAAGTAAAATATTTTAAAAATAGTGAAGTATCCTAGAAATTCACCAGAATACCTTCTTAGTTTCAGCCCTCGTGGGCACACCTTTTTGAAAGAGTCTGTGTGTAGTGTTTCTAAATGATCACCTTGGGATGGGCGTTCCAAACAGGAATTCTGTGTGGTTTCCTCCACATATAAAAAGTGACCGGGGTATTGAATTATTTTTCTATTGTTGTGAATATTCTTTTCTCCTCCTTTACTACTGAAGACATGATACTCCCTTCTCACTTGCTTTTTTTTTTGTCTTGTCATTCTTCTGGAGTCTTTACTTCTCTCTGGGCAAGTTACCTTAATGGGAGAGTTGTTTGTTAACTAGGGTCAATTACCCATTTATCCAGCAAATATTTGTTAAGTACCTACAGAGTTCAAGATAAAGTGCCAAGATTAATGAATCTGCATGCCATAGAAATATTAATTCTATGCTATATGCTGCAAAAAATTCAAAATGGTTTAGAGGCCAAGTAGGTTTTGGAAATGGACATACTTTTGTTTTATTAGAGTTTTACAATATGCCTTAGTATGTTAAAAATTTTAAGAAGTTCATTTTCACAACTTCTTTGATTATGATACTCTTAGTTTGAAATGCTTATTAATTTTGTGAATTCCATGAACATACTTTGGAAAATGCTGAATTATATATAGAACCTGCCCTTATTGTTAAACAGAGGAAGGAAATAAATATATAACTGCATACTCTTGAAATAAAGCTATAAGTGGCGCCAAAGAGGTCTAGATAAAATCCTGTAGGACTTGGGAGGATGGGAAGACTGCTAGAAGTTGGAAAGGATAAGGAGATGGAGTTTGTGGAACTGGGTGGAGGGATTTTCTAATACAGCAGGCAGTGAAATCTAAGACATAAAGGAAGGTAACTGGAGAGGGGAAGAGTTCATTTTGGCTGGAGTGCAGAAGAGGAGGAATGGCATGTAAGGTAAATTGAGTTTTAATTGTACAGGTCCTGAGTGCCAGAATTAGGAATTAGGTTTTATTTCTTTACTATAAATGCAGGAGCCTTGATCATAATAGTATTTGAGGTCATGTAATTTTACAATGGCTTTTTGACTTCTAGATTAGAATTTGAATAGTTAAGAATGCATTTTCAGCCCTGGCTGGTGTAGCTCAGTGGATTGAGTGCGGGCCTGCAAACCAAACAACCATGGTTGATTACCAGTCGGGCACATGCCTGGGTTGCAGGCCAGTTCCCATGCACAAGAGGCAACCATACATTGATGTTTCTCTCCCTCTTCCCTTCCCTCTAAAGATAAGTAAATTCAAAAAATCTTTAAAAAAAGAATTCATTTTCACATACAAACAAATTTATGTCTCTTAAATTTTCAAACTAAATTACAAAAGTTGTTTTAACAGACTTCTCTCTTACAGTGTTAACTAGCTAAATATATATTAATGAATATGAGATATTCAAGTAAGGACCACTCCTTTACCCTTAAGGTGCTAAAATGTACGTGTTTTAGCCATATTAGCTGTTAAATAAATGTTTGTGGAACCTGGCTGTCATGTGTGTAATACCATGTATGTGAGAAAATGTATTCATTCAGCGAACATTTTATTGAGTACCGTACCTACCCTCATCCAGAAGTTATTCCAAGTACTGGACTCAAAAGGTGTTTTGAGTTAAAAATCTAGTTGGAGTGAAAGGAAGAGAACACTTTCTTCTCTCAGCATTCTGCCACTGATCTCAGTACTTCACCTCTGACACTAGATGTGTGGGGATTTCCCCCAGTACCTATAGATGGAACTTTGGTTACATTAGGTTCAGTTTTCCGGTAGACACTGACTGGGTGTCCTACAATTCAATTTAATTCTGACATACTCTGCCTAGAGTTAGCATCACATCCCACAAAGTTAAGAGCTCAGGTCCCACAAGACACCTCTACTTCAGATACCAGTTACAGTCCAGGTTGTTACCTGTGCTTCCTGCTGACTGGCTGTGTATTGGGGGTTTTCATGACCCCCTCTTCAGATTTGATAGTTTGCTGGAAGGGCTCATAGAACTCAGGAAAACTACTTAATTACTG